AGCCGTCACGTAAGGGCTTCATGCGATGCCGGTGGAAGATGCGTGACGTGTAATGCTGTGCACGATCGGACGGCGCGTTACCATAAAGTTACTGTTTAGAATTTTAGACCTGGTCAACGTGCACCTGTTCCATGACGTGTGTAACATTGAAGCCGCCGAGAAGGTATTTGCTTAGTTGTTTATACGTTGCGTGTCGTGCTGTTAAACTCTATGCTTCTACTGGCAGAGTCCTTCGGTCTTCGCCAGTCAACGAGAACGAGGTCTCAACTACACACTATCACGGTGAGCTTATGCTAGCAACTGACTTCGGTTACTTATATGAAGCGCTAGTAGACTACCTGTTTGATGCGTCTATGATTTGCGCAAATTTTTTTAAATAAACTTAAGGACAGAGGTTTGATGTAAAAACTTGCAACCCTCTTTTTCAAGTAATATCATATCATTATTATTATACGTACGTTAATTTATTACTTATTATAAATGAGGCTAATAAAATCCAGATGTTGCATGGTGGTTATTATAATAGTTTGATAATTCTTATAGGTTAAAGAGTGACCAAGATTGCAACGCGGCAACATTCCTTTTCGGCGATTTTAATTTTCGGCTCGATACTAAGTCTCTGGTTGAAAAAGTAAGGATGGAAATGTGTAATGTTTTTATTGGTTTGTTGATATAAAGGACGTTAAATCGATGCCATTCAAAATAAGTTTTCTGGCAGAAGTTGTTTCTCGATTTTGATCGATTCAGTGGTATGCCATCTGCGATGAATCTGTCATTTCGACATTCTTGATACTTTTGCTTGAGGTGTTGGTCTGTTAAAAATTGCCGTTGCCATTAGCTAACTTCTCAATAATCAGAAAAAACTTATATAATATCTGCAGATGAATAAAAATGTCACTGACTAACACGTAAAGTAGCGTTAACTAAAGTTTTTTGTTATAATAGATGGGAACTACCGATCTCTCAGCAAGTCTATAGCAAGTGAAGCTCAAGGCAGAGCGATACAACGAACAAGAGAGAACACATTCAACAGGATCTTTTTTGGCACCTTCAATTGGACCAGGGTCTTTAGCATGTGCAAAGCCCTACGAATTCAGATTCAGTGAGTCATAACTAAGCACATTTGCCAGTCTTAGTTCAGGCATACATAGAGTTGAACTCTTTCCCCGTCGCCTTCATATTTGATTTACAGCTGCCTAGAGCGAAGTGTAGATGGTTAGTCGAGTCATTAAGAATCTTGGCGAAGCTTACATATCGCTGGTAATCTTCATCACAGCTGTCGCCTCAATCCGTTGATGAGACAGGTCAGCTGAATGCCTCAAACACGTAGAATATCATAATCGTTTACCGACGTTGCCCAGAAAACACGGGTGCAACATGCGTTATTTTACAGGCTGCACAAGAGTGCTTGAATTGACAAAGAAGAAAGTGGAAGGATACAGTTCTGAAGGATACCTTCCGCTCGTTTTTCGCTATGTGCCAAACGTGGTCAGTGATCAGGTTAGGCGGGTGCTGAAATACATTCTAAGATATAGGCGTCACTTCAACTTCTCCAGATGGAACCATCGACCGTGCAGGGCGCCGATGCTATGTCTTAAAGCGTATGTTACGTTCAGCCGTAACCTGATCTTGATTATAAAGTTAGTAGGCTGATAACCGGAATCTACTCGTAAACCAACTATGATGATAAGTTGGCTCAGAACAAATTCTAACTATCTGATTCGCATTCTGCAGTTTTCGAGCCATCTGCAGCTTGGTTAGAAATCTTTGACATATTTTGTTCTTTCGTGAACTGAGCCTCTGAGGTACATTTTAGATGTATCTGTTGCAGAAAAGGCAGATAATCGATTAAATGGAATTTTTAGCATAGATCGAAAAATCTAATCCACCAACAGATTTATGGTATTGGTCTGCGAAATCTTGCCTGCAAATACTTGAAGTTTCAAAACTGATCGAGAGGGAAAAAGGAAAAAGATGTTAGCTGTTGCAATGTCGTCCTTGCACTTTAATGATGCGGCCATTCTGATGATGTTGATGGTAGGAGTGATCGAAGTATAGGTCCACTTTACGCTGTAACCCGAAATATATGCTTCATAATTAATTAATGGCAGAATGAAACTCCTGAAAATTCCGAAGAAATTCTCGACTATTGACTTAATAGGTTTCTACAGAAAAGCAGATAAATCGTCCAACACGCAGTTTCAGCGACCGGTATTGGTGGAAAACATTTTTTAGGAATAGCAGCTTTCGCGTCTGTATGGCCAGTGAACCTTCGGAGCTGTTGATGAAGCATGAACTTCGAGATATGACCGCTTCTTTAATAGCACTGCCACATTAATTTATTTTTTTTCAAGCTGGACATACAGACGTTCTTGATTTTCACAGATCAGCGCGAAACAGCGGTTCTTGTTGCTTTATTATTCAATAACAGATATTTTGTTGTGTAATTTATTATTCAAATTATTTGTAGAAAATTTAGCAGAGAATTTTGCTGACTATTTGCTTGCTTAGTATTTCGCCCCGTCTTCGAAGCCAGTGGAGGTCATAAACGCCGAAGACGGACAGATGCGGTTGCAATATCGCCACATCAAAAGTGGAGAGGTATAAATTCATACCAGATCTAACATATTTTGGCTAATTACTGCTTTTAGAACTTGTTCGAAATGCAGTCTAAGTGTTTTTATCATCATCTAACGATTGACAAAGTAAAAATGGTAAGCTGCTGCTTCTGCTGAAAGTTTTTATGTGTATATATTTGACTTTTCAAATGCATGAATGTTTTTTGTGTAATTTGTTTGCATGGTCACATAATGTTAAACAATGCATATTTTCTGTATGCATATTGGTATAAATGCCAGTGAAAATGTTTTTCATCGACATGGGGTTTAGGGTCTATTTCAAGACCGGCATGAGCACAGGGATGCTATTATTCAAGAATTATACCCTGAAAAAACCAGAGGAGGCGCTAAATGTGGATTACAGCGTTCAGTGCGGAAACTGCGATAAGGTATACGTTAGAAAGACCTACCGGAAATTGAATATCTGAATAAAAGAGCATAAACGTGCATTCCGCTTCAGATAGGCTGGCTACTTCTGTAATTCGCAGCATATCTTTTCTGAGTGAAACTCCTTCAATCATGCGAATTTCTGTAGTTTACTTTGACCATTCAAGGCCTGGTATTTTGATCAAGAAAGCACTCATATAATGGCGATGAAATGTCTTATGTGCTCTGAATATTCTTCTTTCGTTGTGACCAGTCAGTGAAAGCTGGGGTGCTGTCGCCAACCTGATAAAAAAAAGTTTGCGACGGAGTAGTGACGGGCGAAGATTAAACCTTAAATTTAAAGTTATGAATATGAAAATTAAAATCCCGTGTTAATCCACTATTTATTTTAAATCCATATAGTTTTGTGTATTTAAGACGGCTTGCTGCCTGCCATATCAGTTGCACCATTTCACTGCTAAGGCATCGTGCTTAATGAAACACGTTGGCAAACAATAGTGTTAACAGCTGTGTTGTTTGGTGCTTTCATCCACGAATCGACAAATCACCATCTACAATTTGTGTATGCATCACAGCACCCAGCTTCTTTCTTGTAGTCAAGGAACCTTAGGGCTAGGCTGACCACAAATATGCGTGTAACCCTGCTGTTCACGCTTTCAGCCTTGTTGGCAATGAGTAAACACCACAACAGAAGTAAAGCGGCGTATATGCATACGCTGTTGTTCACATTTTCAACTGACTGCATTTCTTTCATATGGTTAGTCCGTCATTGCATAACCTGGTCACAATTCTGTATCTGTCTGTTACCGTATGTTTGTCATAATAGTTTTTCGTTATCGTCACAAATCAAGATTATTTGTATTTACTTGGATAGCTTGTTGCTGCCTCCTGTGATTTCGTTACTCGGTTAAGGTACAGCATGACTACGAACTGGACATCATCATTCTAAAATACTGGACTTAATCATCCTTGTCATTAAACAGAATAAAGCGTTGCGTCCAAAAATTGATTTCTACTCTATGCAAAGTATCGCTTACGATAATTTGCATCTTTCGCTGCCGACGTATGCACAGTTGAGGAATGGAGCATTGCGAATACTGTTTCAGGATTGGCTGTCGATTTTGGACAAAGAGCCACGGCTTCATGAAGAGCTTAGGGAATTCCGAATCACGTTTGTTCCAAGGTATATATTCTGTATATTATAAGTTGTTCAGCTTAGCATATCACAAAACTGTTTCTCGGACTTGTTATAATGGTAATTATTCGAAATGCACGAGCGTCATCTTGCCTCTCTGCTGTTTAGTGTTCATGATGTATCATGAAAGGTATTATTAAGTATATTGTTATCTGTTATTATGCTGAAAGGTTAGTTAAACTATAGCAACAATTTATTTTATGTTTTGATGTATCTTTGAGAAAAGACGAAGCTATGTAATCAGTGGAAGTTGTGTATCTGTCGTTTCTTTAGTTATCTGCTGAATTCCGTTTGTAGCACATTTGTTCCATAATTCGCCACTGACCTTCATTTTGATGCATTATTAACCAGAAGGCTCTTTGATTTATGCAGCAATATCTGCAGCCATGTTAACGTCATTTCATATTCTTATACCTCCGCCAACCGTCTTTCGTATCGGAGTATTCATTTAGCTCAGGAAGATGGTGGGAGAATGATTCCCCTACAAATCTCAAATCCTTCATCCGTCTCCCTTCTGCAGTTAACAGTTTGCGCTAGATAGACTGAGCTGCCATGCGACATTTGTACCTGAAGTCAAAACAAAGTTTAAATCATTAAGTTTGACGAAGTACTTCTTACATGTGGTTAAATGAGATGACGACAAGTAAAAATTGCAGATACTGGCGTATTGGTACAGTTATTTAAGGGATCAGCCTCGCACGCAGGAGGTTTAATTTCGCTTCTGAGCAATCTTTATCTTATTAATGAATACGGTTGAGAAGGATTTTACCATACATTGCTTTAGTCCGTGCTTGCTCACTCAGTGAAGCGTTGAACTTAGAACCGATAGGTCCCAAGTTTAAGCCCTGGACAGGGTCACTCGCCCTACTTTCCGAGGTTGATAAATGAGTACCACTCTGAGTTAAGGAAATACGAAGTTACGCGCGCTACGCTTGTCACGTGGCCTCACATTCTGCCATTAAAAAGGTAAGGCATTTCTGGTTGACGGCATAGAGATCAGCATCTCGCCCTCAACTTCATGAAAGAAGGCGCCAGACTGGCCCAGTCGTGAAAATGATGAAAACTGACATTCCAGCGGTAATAAACTTTCTTTTGTCCTTCCTTCAAACGTTACACCTATAAACCTGCCAAATATTTAGCGGAAATTTCCAATTTTATCATAAAAATGATCGAATTTTACTTGAGAATTGTATTATTTAATATTTTTTGTATCGGTTACTAATTTTTTTACGCGTGACGCGGACACTTGAGCCACATATGTAAATTTGGTTATAGCGCTGATGTTTCGGGTTATATTTGTCCGCCTTTTGTTGTTTATTGTTTTGCCCCGTAAGACATAGCTCGAAATGTCAGTCAAACCAAATTTTTAGGCGTTGTTCATCCGTTTATATCTTACGTAATGATGGTGCAGTTATTGTGTTTATGGTTTGTAAAATTTACGTGAATTTTTTTGGTTGCAGCTACCCTTTTTGTGAAGATATCAATTTGCCTCAGGTATATTTAAATACTCGTGCACCAGCTTGGTGTGATCGGGTGTTGATGGACAAGATAGCATGGCAGCTACTGCACGTAAATTCAACATTTTTTATTTCTTTGCGCTTAGAGTTGCGTATGATGGAATGAAATTCCTTTTTAGCCAGTGCCTATTTCTCAGGACGAGACTGTCAAATACGACATCGTTGGAAAGGAAACCTGTATGGGCGATCACAAGGTAAGACATGTACGATTAAATGGTTTTTACTGCATAATTTGTTGGTTTGCATTGAAAAATGCATAGAGTTGATATAAGCGTAACTATAGATTGTTTAACCTTTAAAATATCGAACTTTTTGTCCATTCGATGTCGAGAGATGAGTGATGTGAATAACTTTCTCATGTTGTAATGTATTAGGACTTGATTAGTAATACGCGCTGCATAAACTTTTGGCACATGACCTAGGTTTCGGTAGATGCTGGAAGCCTTTATCACCAGCAGATCATGTACACCGGGCAATAATATAAGATTGTTAAATTTGTGGAGATTAGTTGATCATTTGCGATTATCAGTTACAGCGATCTATCGGCTTTTTTCCAATAGCTAAATATTGTGAATTGAATCTATGACTTTAGTTCACGATGCAAGCCGACGAGGTAAGATCTATTTAGTTTTTACCCTGAAAAGTAAGTAGAGCGGAGAAAACGGTCGATACCTAAAACGCTGAGCCTGTCCAAGCCTATGTCTATAGACAATTCGATACACGCATCCGGCATGAACGAAAGATGCGGTAAGAGTCATATGATCGACTAAGATCTGATCTGGCAGAACTGCAACATGAATTCCATCGCGTGAAAGTTTTACGGACAAACGGGTACCTGTGAAAGTTCATCAAATAAACAGTAAGGAACGAGAACAGTCATCGTTCTTCGACCACAAACGAAAAGCGGTTAGTCCAGCAGCAGCCATCTGCTTTTCTGCTGTTCCCGTCATTTCAGAATCAATCAGACGTGTGTTACAGAAGAAAAACAACAAAACCGTCTTAATGATGATGATCTGTTGGTTTGAGTTAGTAAAAATTGACTCAAAGACTAGAATCTCTGAGTTTTTACTTGACTCTTCAAGAGTCAGTAAAAACTCATAGATTTACAGGTCGCCTCTGAATACGAGTGATACAGCCCTATGAATTTTATGCCACCTGTACGACCCTGGTTTTCACATACTTTCCCGATGAGTACCTAATCGGGTGCGATATCTATATATCTAATCACTGTGCGATAAATTCTGAGCAACTTCGAATTTCGCACATACCGAAAACCTGCTTAGGTGTTTTGATCCTTTACGCCTCAATGATGGAGACTCCGACTAACTTGTCTGACGACAGTTCTGGTGTTGTGGTTAGACATGAAATCCTTAATGGTATCGTTTTACCGTTTTCCACGCATGTCCTGACCATCACCATAGTGTAAATACTCTGTTTTTTGACTAGTTGACCCTGTTGCATTTATGGCTGCAGTATTGTTCTGCGCTTAACATATTTTTGGTGAATTTCATCGAGTTCTTTGAAAGTGCTAACTATAGCCTTTTTCCTCCACATCCTTCAACCAATCGTCCAGATCCAGAACGAGTGCTTGGCTGGCTCTTGATTGCAGTAGTAGTTCATTGACCAGTATTGAGCCTCAGTCATCTTAATTCACCAGAGAAGGTACAGAGCGGCATATCCGGCCGACTCATTATGTAGAAGGTATATTATATGCAGTTGATAAAAGCTGATAGCTTCCGCCGAAACCTTTGTGCTGCGCAGACAAGTTTTACGTGACCAGTATCATTAATATAGTGTAAAAATCATACTCACGAATCAACCCACCGTGTCAATGGATATATGTTTATCATCTTTGTGTGTAACCCTGAGGGCGCTATTAATAGTAAGTACTAATAATAAGTATGAACAGTAAACGATCGTTATTCTGGGGAATTTATTGCAATTTGGTTTAAAACATGAACATAAACATGAATAATAAAAGGAATGATTAATTGTTGTATATTGTTTATGTGTAAATTATGTTTCTGTTGCGATGTAATTGCGACATTTTACTATCTGTGTATATGCGATCGTTGTCATGCGGTCAGAATGCCACGTGTGATGAATAATTTTGTCCATACTTATGTAATTCCTCAAGTACTGATAAATCTTTTTAGCCCGTTTATTTGTGCTTCGAATTACCTCTGAAATTCAGTAATGTCTCCACTGATAACAACGTGAACGGTAAGATATGAACTGTCTGTTTTTTTCTACGAGATAAAGTTGACGAAATGCGTAAAAAGCATATCATGTGTACCCTTTCGCTCCTGCTGTATTTGAAGTTGAGAGACAATGGGTGATGATTGGAAAATAATTTGCTGTAGAAATGAAATTGGCGCCGTAGAACAGGCTGTTTGTAAGCGAGTGTACTGATTTCAATAAAGAAGATTGTGCTGTTTCTGTCAGTCGGTCAGTTTTGTTGGTTTCATCTGTTTTTGAGTGACATAGGTGGCGGTGTCGCCAGGGTTCCCGGTCTTCTGTCAGCTTTTTATCTGCGACAGTATATGACCTGACTCTGGGGCAGAGTCTATCGAAGCCATCCTCCCAGGCCATTCTTGTCTGTCTCCGGGGTCTTTGGTCGGTCAGTTGAGCAGGTAGTAGCAGTTCGCCCTGTTCCATATAACCGTTCGCAAAGTTTGCCCAAATTATCGCAGCCGTGACTATTCATTTAAACAAATAGCGCTTGTTCTACAGATCTTTCTCGAATATCTGAACTCTGGATTCTTTTTGTTCTTTACAGTAATTTTTAATATAGACTATTTGGAAGGGACTTTGTCGAATCAGCATCGGCATTTCGAAAAACTGACTCAACAGCTTTGCAGGAAGTCTTTGAAATTGCATTTGAACCGATCTTCAGCTTTTTTCTTTCGTTCTACTGCTCATCACTGCGCTTAAATGTTGACAGTGATGATTACGCTCGCTTTGTTGTGAGAACGACGCTGCCGATCATTATTTCTTGTTTTACCTACATTCCAATGGTCGTAGTGACTGGTGAAAAATTCCAGTCGTCACCAAATTATCTGCTGTGCAACGGATTAACGATATTATGCTTCTTTTGAGCTCTTATATCTTTTTCTACGATAATACGTATGGGCGGTGACCTGTTATGCTTCTCTTCCGGTGTACACACAATCCGTCAGTCTTGGCGGATTTGTTTTGGGGTCATCTAGTTACCGCTTGCTTCGCTGGTCGCCCCCTCTCGATTCAAGAAAGATTGGCTTTTACATCTATCTTATCGGCTAAAATGAGTGCGCCACGTCCTTGCATACGATTCCTTACTTTAGCAACGGCTCGTTCTGAACGACTTGAACACAAGTCTGTGTTTTGAGAAAGAAGGAAAATTTAAAACCACCTGGAAGGCTGCCTCTTCTGTCATATGGCTGGGAGAGATGACTGGCAAGTGTATATGTACATATCCATAATTCTAAGCCAATTAGTGGCTACGTCGGTCCGCTATACTGCCATCGAACTTTCTCAGCAGTTATTTGGAAACAATGTGCTGCACGGTCTGTTCTTTATACTAGGCTAGACTTCATCTTTCAACGATAAACAGAGTGTCCCTCTCTTGCCTGAATACGATTTTATGTCGATCATTCTTGGCGGGCCAAATCTGTACCAGAGGTTCTGTTGCAAATAAGAACTTTCTTGTGGACAGCTGCAGCGTCCAACTTTGCTCGCCGCTGTTTCTAGTGACTCAGTCGTGGCATCGCCCCACAGTGGGTGATGTGATTTCAGGAGTAGTGTTAGCGACTGTTGGATTACACCCTCAGTTGTGAGCACGCAACTTGTGCTGATGGTCCGGAAAACATGAGATCGTGTTCGCCTCAGTGGGACAACCGGATTCACTGTACGCCAGTTTCGTTTTAGTTGGCATTTGGGTGTCATTCTTTCATACAGTTCCAGTCTTTATAGGACTCTTCATGAAATTTATGGTGCGTCGTTATCTTCATTTGACACAAGCTATATTTGATGCATTGCTGCTTTTCTTTGATGGTGCAGTTAGGTGATCGTTGTTGCATGTAGTGTCCTGTTTTCTTCCAATGTCCAGTGAATTCTTATTCATTGACCTCAGATAGATATAAAACCAGTGACTCAAGCAGGACTAAAAACCGAGACTTCTCCATTATGATTTCTGCACTGTGCTGACCTGAGTAAGTTACCTGCAAAGCATCTTGTTCAGTTGTTCGAATCCTCAATGTTCTTTCCATAGTATGCTTCCTCTTGGATTCTTAGGCCGAGTACAACAGCTTGAGCGTCATTTGTTCCCCTGCTGTAATTAGATCTTGAATTGACGGCACATTTCATCTGAAGGCTAGAGTGGAGGTAATGTTGAAATTTAAGCAGTGGAAATGTACTGATTCATTACAACAACTGTAAAGCGCTTTAGAATTCGAAACCCCACATGTTGGATGCCTTTAAATACTGGAATATTAATATATCTAAGGTGTTATCTTGACTATCTCGCTAAATGACTGTATTTTAGGCTAGCGCCTACGTTGTGTATCGTCTAGTGCCAAGTTCGAATTGTTCTTTTCTTTTGTTCGCAACGTCCATCCATCTATGCGTGGTCGCACGTGACTGTGGTGTAGTTTCTTGCTTAGCTGATTCTTGCTGGTTTGCAATTGTAATTTCGAAGCTGTGCTTTACCTAGTATAGGAAACTTTCTGGAAAAGTTTGTTTCGTTGCTTGTTATTTTCTTTGGGAGTCTTTGACGTCGGAAGCTGTTACCAGTGGCAGGCCTTCTTTATTCTGACAAAGAAACCTCGTTCATCGCTCATTTAGTTATTTTCGATGCTGCCATTTAAAAAAAAGTTCGGTGTGCAGGCAGAACTTTTCTGTATAAAGTTTTGCTATAAAGATCGACATGTCATGACGGTTAGGAGAAAGTTTAAATGGTCTAAATCGAGGCACGTGTCCTAAAAGGCTGCTTTGCTATGAATAGTAGCAGCGTATCCATGTCATTAACTATTTGTGTTGTGTTCTATTATTAATCTAACGTTATCACATATTTCGAAGTTCACTGCGCCGCTTGTTGTTAATATATTGTTCAGCTCAAAAGCGGTACAAAATCTTTGTTTTTGTCTAATAAAACGTTGACATACATTTTGTCAAAAACTGTCACAGAGCTTAAAAAATAGTTTCTTGTTGTTCAACTTGTTAAAAACTAACATTGGTCGTTCGAAATGTTGTCGACTGTTATTAAAAGTCGTCGTTGTAAACC